CTCTTAATAGTCATCATGAGAAAAACTTAGAAATCATTAATAAACATTATAATATCAAAATATACAAGATAATTATAAGAAAACAAGAGAACTTGGAAAAAAAAAATTAAAGAACATAAGTAAGACAATGATACTATAGTTTTTCAATGGATCGTAATTTTTGAATGGCAATATTCCAATACTTTTTTTCTATGGTAAGATGGCTACCACTACGAAAAATCTTTGTAATTGTTTCGGAGGACTCAGTAGGGGCATTGGGTGGATGTGATAGAAATGGTGATCGATAACGATTCGAGCAACTTTTTGCAATATGACCGGCACGGTTACACAGTTGACAAGTTACAGCATATCGGTGTGGGCAAACTGCAGCTAAATGTTCAGGAGTATCACATATTTGACAAACAGAGTAGTCTACAATATTAGGCAATGGAATGTGTTGGTCAATTGATACATTATTCTTTGCTTCTTTTAATTTCTTCTTGGGAGAACTCTGAGATGGGCAATTCCATAATGATTCAGGAGTATCCTCAACTATTCCTGTGTAAAATAACATCAAGTTAAATAATGTGATAGTAAATGGGGTGAACGAACAGGAAATGAGAAATAAGGGAAGAACAAAAAAAAAAGTTATACCATCATATTGGTTGTCAAAATATTCTTGACTTTCTAATTGGTTGTCAAAATATTCTTGACTTTCCAATTGGTTATCAAAATATTCTTGACTTTCCAATTGGTTGTCAAAATATTCTTGACTTTCTAATTGACTATTAAAATTTGGTTGACTTTCCATTAAGCAATAGAAAAAAAGAGTTTGGAAATTTAAATAAATTAATACTTTTCAATTATAATATAAAAATAATTATGTGGAGATAAAAAAAGTGAATTGCAAGAGTGAGGGAGAAATAGCAAGAAATTAGGAAGCGCGGGAGATGTGTATATATTAGCAGGAGAGAGGTGTATATATAAAGGGTGAATGAGCTACCAGTCAAAGGACTTTTAGCAAGAAGGTGCAATTGTCTCACTTTCACCAACATATGATCCATGTTGCTAATTAGTGGTTAGATGAGGTGATTATCAATAGCAATATGATATATGTGGGTAATGCTCTAGCAAAATTTAGAAAATTTCAGCAACATGGGTCTTGTTGCTGAAATTCACTTTCAGCAACAAGAACCATGTTGCTGAAAGTGCATCTCATTCTACCACCCACCCGGTCGTTGGGATTGCTTGGTTCGTGGGGGTCGGAGGTTGGGAGCACTTTCAGCAACAAGAGGCTTGTTGTTGAAAGTGTAAGAGGTGATCAAAAGAGGGACACTTTCAGCAACCTGTCCCTTGTTGCTGAAAGTGCAAGGGGTGGCCGGCCGGAAATGCTAGTAACAAGGGCACTTTCAGCAACATGCCCCTTGTTGCTGAAAGTGCATGGAATGATGCCGGTCAAAGAGGTCAATATCAGCAATATATTCCTTGTTGCTGATGTTTGATTGGTAAAAAAAGGCAATAACAGCAACAAGGTATATGTTGCTAATACTTAAAGTAGTTGGCAACTTTTTCAGCAACATATCTCTTGTTGCTGAAAGTGAATTTCAGCAACAAGGAACTCGTTGCTGAAAAATGCAGCTCATTCAAATGGCAAAGCATTCACCGGAAAATATTAGCAAGATGGTGTATGTTGCTGAAAGTAACTTTCAGCAACAAGAAGTATATTGGTGAAAGTGTGGCAGCTTTTTCCATGAATTGGTACACTGTAGCACTTTCAGCAACCTAAAGCTTGTTGCTAATACTTATTTTTAGCAACAAACAATCCCATGTTGCTGATATATTGTTGGTAAAACCCAAGATTTTAGTAGTGTACATTAGAAGCGCATAGAAGCAAAAGATGTTGCCAACTACAGGAGTCTAAAATGCATATCCTTGTACGGTTGTACCTATCATCACTTAAGTCCT